AGGGGGAGAGGGAGAGGGAGAAGCAGGCTTCCCGCTGAGCAGGCAGCCCGATGCGGGGCTTGATTCCAGGACACTGGGATCGTGACCTGAGCCGAAGGCAGACGCTTAACAACTGAGCCACCCAGGCACCCCTGAATACATTTTTAGTACACTTTGGAAACCTTCCACATGCATGCCAATAAGCAGAGGTGATAGGGGTAGAAATGAGCTTTTTAACCCCATTTTCTCTTTGTATTGTCTACTTACGCTTACTCTCAAACACTAGTTGCCTAAAACTCAAGGTCAAGGGCATGTTTCCCTGACACATCTTTTATTTCTTTGCCTCTTGCTTTGGCCTAGCCAGCTGTGTCTCCATGTATGTGGTTCTTCCTGCCTGACCTCTTACCATTACTCCCCACCTGTGATGACAAATGACTCTCTCTTCCCTCACTGACAGAGAGCAAGGGAAGTCTAATACACAATATGGACAGGTTGCAAATCCTTAACCAGCATAGCAGAAAAAGATTTTATTTCTTCTGGCATCCAGACATTAACTTCAGTTTAGTTTATAAAAATTTTAAAGTCAAAATGAAAGATTCCATTAACGTTTAATTTTAAGCAGTTTACTAATTAATCAGCTACAAATCAATTTACTGTTTTGTTTTCTAACTGGCAGTTAAGTAGTTTAAAAAGGTTAAAACTAACATACACTCAATGGGACTTACCTCCATTAGTAATGGTCGCTGGCCTATGGCTGCCATACCCTGAAGGGCATTTACTTCGGCTACAAGAACCCTATGAAGAAGCTATTTAATTGAGAAAAGAGAGAAAAATCAGACCACTGCAGACACTGACAGAACAATACCTCTACCAATTACTATAAACTGCCCTAGAGGGAAAAGTTTTGGATACCTTTACATATAATCTTCAAGTGGCACTGTCCAGCTTCTAGACACAAACTTTAGGTATCCCTCACATTACTAAGTGGTACCAAAGAGCCTCGGTAACAGGTCAGTTGGTGCAAATGCCCTTGGGTATCTTCTTCCTACTAGTGAGGCCATTACCATTTACCTGGTAGAGAGTTAAATAGCTAAAACCGTTCCATAGCTGGGCAGCATGACTGCTCTCAGGAAGGTGATAGGGAAACTTTTAAAGAGGTAAAGTTAGTGTGGCCTATTCAGTTTCATTTCCCAGCTGTTTGAAAAATGAAAACACAGCCCAATAAACCAATATCCTTATCAGAAAACAACAAGTGTATGGTTCTATTTTTGTCCGATGACTCAAAGTCAGAAGCCCTTGATACTGCACGCACTTCAAAACAATCCTCACCTTGACATTGCAGACTGTCTGTCCCCGTAAATTCTTGTGTTCACAGTTAGCAATAACTTGTTCGATCTGGGCCCGATCAAAGAAATCTAACTGCAAAGGCTCAGGGATCTCCTGACTGAAGTCAATCGAGTCAAGAATACTTAGAATTTTTCGACGTACTAGAAATAAATAAAAAGTAGTTCAGTTGTACTTGGAATAGTGAGGAGAAAAGCAAACCATTGTACTCAGCTCATGCCCAAAGGCAGTGCTATGGTCAAGCAAGTCCAGCAACAGAAGACTGTGTTGAAATCTAAATTTGACTTTATTTCTAATATATCCATTTACAAAAATATTTTTTCCATTCATTCATCCTAATTACAAAAAAATTATTTCTGAATGGCAAATAATCCTTTCTATAGCTTTTCTATACCAGTTCAGAATTTGCAGACACAGGAGTAATAATTACCTCTTGAAATTTTAAGCAATTTAATATATACCTATAAAGTCATTACAGATTCAAAGGTCTTTACCTTTTGTAGCAGTGTCAAAGTGAAGGAACCCAGAGACAGACCTATTTTCATCTTCCATTCCTCCTTCACCATCTGTTAGAGCATCAATAATAACAGATCAGGAAAAGAACATACTTGTAACATTTATTTGGAAATAACAAACATAAGGTATTTCTTTTTCTAGGTCATTATTGCTAGGTCAAAGAGCCCTCCACAAATGGATAATTGAAATGCAAAGATGATGAGGACTTAACAACAACATTCATCTAATTCTTTCCGTCCCTAGGAGATCCACTTCACAACTGTAAAGAGGATAATCAGAACTCCCAAAGAGGCAGGACCCAATCATGCCAATGAGATGATTAGAAAAGCTTATGTTTAATTTGCATGTACAATACACATTAAAATATCATGGGTCATGCTGGCTCAGTGTGACAAACTCCACTGAATATTTGTGGATATGAATATAGCAGAATGTGGATGCTTCAAACAATAATAAAATGACAATTATGGGATGATTTAAAAATTTTGTGTTTTAAGGAAAAAACTTCTAAAGACAGAGAGAACTTGTTTGGCCTACAATCACATGCTAAGCACAAGACTGTTGTGCTTGCATTCACACAGACCAGTCAGCAGCACAATAAAACAAATGCCAACACGCACACACTGACCTGAGTACGGTTTCACAGGCATGTCATCCAGTAAGAGGTGTAGGAGCCTCTGGGTATGGGACCGTTGACGATTCAGAGAAGTTACCCTTAGTTCTATTGAGGCAGTCTTCATTAGCCATGACATCTGGTTCAGCATAGACATTTCATACTCTGCAAGTTACATACAGAAATTTAGTTTCATAGAGTAGTAACACAGAATCATAACAGACCTAAATTCCGTAACTCATCAGATATTTTCCCATGTCACATTGTCAATAACTTATAAAACCTGACATCATAATTTATCACTCTAAGAAAATTAAAAAAGCAAAAACAGATGCTAAGAGAGAAAAAATAAACAAGTATATGTCTATAAAAAATAAGCCAAAGCAAATGAAGAACAAAAGAGAAATCAAGTTTCCATTACCAGAATAATTTTACACAGATCTAAGTCTGTCCTATTTTGACATTAATATGGAACTTCATACTTAAAAAAAAATTCTCAAATATATAACTTGTAAAAAATAAAAACCTAACATACAGTTTGACTTTTATTTCCTAAAACAAATACACAATGCATGATTTTACGATATCTCTGAAGATAATCAAGGACACCCGATTTAACATATAACTAGGGTTGGTTTTTACACCACAGCAGCCACTCCAGAGCTACAGCTATGGCCTGCGCTACCCTACGGCTGTGGGCCTCACCGCGGGCCACAAGGTGACCAAGAACACGAGAAAGCTGAGGCACAGGCACCACGGGCGCCTCACCAAGCACACCAAGTTCATGCGGGACATGATCTGAGAGGTGTGGGGCTTCACCCCACAAAAGCAGTGCACTGTGGAGCTGCTTAACGTCTCCAAGGGCAAGGGGCTCTCAAGTTCATCAAGAAAACGGTGCGGAAACGCACCAACACCAAGAAGATGAGAGGAACTTCGCGATGTCCTGGCAGCCACGAGGAAAGCGGCCATTGAGAAGGACCGAGCCCCTCCCCACTCTGTGCAGACTAAAACCTTTCCAGAAACAAAAACAAAAATGAAACCTATAATTAGGATTGGGAACCACTTACAGAAGTTTTTGAATCCAATATCCTTAATGGGCCTGATCTGAAGTCCTAAATTCTAACAGTACAAACATAAAATACACCAAATACTCCTACTCCTACTGCCACCAGCTCTACTGCCAATAAGCAAAACCAGATGGATTTTTAAAAGACAGATACAGTAATAGATAAGACATTAACTTTCGGGGCGCCTGGGTGGCTCAGTCGTTAAGCGTCTGCCTTCGGCTCAGGTCATGATCCCAGGGTCCTGGGATAGAGCCCCACGTCGGGCTCCCTGCTCAGTGGGGAGCCTTCCTTCTCCCTCTCCTACTCCCCCCGCCCCGTTTATGCTTTCTCTCTCTCTCTATCAAATAAATAAATAAATAATCTTAAAAAGAAAAAAGAAAAAGATTCAACTAGATATGCACTGTGACATACTGCAAAGGAAAGAAAGACATGGACACGCTAAGTATCGCATATTGTTCAGTGCGACCAGAGACAATAGAGGGAGTCAAAAATATATATAAGCTAAAGTGGTATCTGAGGGTTTGTTTTTATAGTACTCATGTACTATCTTCTTAATTTTAGAAAATTAAACATTCTCCCTTGACTTTAGAGTAGGCACTTTAATGATTCCATAAAGACTCAACAATTTGTTACAGCTTTGCTTAGCCAAAAGATGGAAAAGGGCCTTTTTTAAATTTAAAGTAACCAATCACTAGAACAGAAAAGATTAGGAATGTGTCTAGTTCTACCTGCTTCTAATGTGTCTGGTTCGTCTGGTCTTTGGGCGATTTGTAAGTAATACAACAGAGAGCCATACAGGTGTGTCCTCACTCGCTGGAATCCGCCACCTATGGAGACATAGAGTAAAAGTCTCTTTTCAAATTAAAGTTAAAACAAATACAAAAGGTGTAATTTATAAGAAATTTAGATGAAAAGACCTGTCTTCAAAATGAAGTCCAAGAGCTTCTTCAATATAATGTGAAGCGAAGAATCTCCAATAGAAGCAAAACCCACCACAGGGCTGTCTGCTGGAGGAGGGGGCGTGAAAGAACTCTCAAGCATAAAAGCGTAATGGGTCTCTCCGGGTCCCAAGACTAGTGGTTGCTTCTGTTCCGTGCGAACGGCCTGGCTTAGGTGAGCAGTCAGGGTGAACACGGCACCTGCCACCACCGGCATTAACTCCTGCGCTGCTTCATCATCCAGGATCTTAAAGCAGAAAGACAAATCGGAGTGAAGACTGCGCTTTCAGCTACAGTCATTACGGGTTTTATATGCATTTAGCTTTCCAACTACCATAAGAATGTAAGAATGGAATGGCACTGTTCAAAGCAAATAAAAGCTAATATACAGAAAGAAATTGAAACATGATGCTGGTAACACGTGTTCTTAACCAGAAGGGATTCCTATCAAAATTCCTTAGGGAGGATTTTAATGTAAATTCACATAAATGGTCCACCACCAGTGTCCCATCCAGTATGTCCAGGGTGGGATCTAGCCCTGTGTGTTTTTAAAAAGCTCCCTAGATAATTCCGGTATGTACTCTGGTTGAGAGCCACAACTGTACGGAAGCCTTTCTCAAGGAAAGTCTTCAACACCGCCAGTGCACAGCTCTATTCATTCCTACTATAAAAGGGGTGGGGGGGAAGGATGGTGGCAAACTGTGTTTAAATGGTATACAAATAAAGGCAATATAGGAAGTTATTAGGAAGTAAGGAAGTTCAGGAAGCCATTTAGGAAGTACGTCACCTTATCATGCACATCTTGTAAAATATCACGAATAATCAGTTGTCGATCCTCTGCCTGAATGAGGTCCTGGGGACAAGCCGTCAGTATAATTTCTACCAGCTGTCTCCATGACTCTAACACATGCCGTTTTGCATGAAGACACTGCAGCAATTTGTTTCTTCCTACCACATACTGAAGTATAGTGCTGATTTCCTAAAGCCACAGAAATTGAATCACAAGGTAAACACATGGGCAAATAATATCTTTTATTAATACAGTCCCATTTTCTTTTAAAGTTTATTTATTGGGGTGTCTGGGTGGCTCCGTTGGTTAACAACGTCTGATTTCAGCTCAGGTCATGATCTTGGGGTCCTGCGATCAGGCCCCACATCCAGCTCCCCGCTCAGAGGGGAGTCTGCTTTCCCTTCTCCCTCTCCCTCTGCCCCTCCCCCTACTCGTGCACGAGGGCACTCTCTCTCTCAAATAAATAAAATCTTTTAAAAATAAATAAAAGTTTATTTATCTTTTTTAGTAATCTCTACACCCAATGTGGGGCTCGAACTCACCACCCTGAGATCAAGAGTCACACGCTCCTCCAGCTGAGCCAGCCTGGAGCCCCAACAGAGTCCTATTTTTAACTCTGTCTGTTCATCTGAATACATTTTTATTTATTTATTTATTTATTTTTTTTTTTAAGATTTTATTT